TTTTTGCATGCATATGAGGTTATTGAAAATACCATGGCTTGGGTCAGGCGCACCTTAGTCCTCAAGCTGACATCTTGGCTCTTCAACATTTTAAATGTATTGTATTAGGCAGCAGATTTGCCTAATGCAATACGTCATTTGATCTCTTAACTCCTGCTTCCGTGAGTGTTGATAGTTGATCCAAGAAGAATGAAGTCCTTGACAACTTCAATCTTTTCTCGGTTGATAAGACTGTTGTTTATTGGTCCATTGGTGAGGATTTTTGTTTTCTTTATATTGAGATGCAATCCATACCGAAGGCTGTGCTCTTTGATCTTCTTCAGTAAATGTTTTAAGTCCTCAGATGCAGTCGTACTAACTAATCTGTAGAGTCCTAGTATGGCGCTGTGGGCTAAAATGCTGGACTGCGAAGTCAGTTTGAACTGCGAGGTTGGAGGTTCAAGCTCACCAGCAGCTCCTTGGAAATCCTATATAGGGTCGCTATGGATTGGAATTGACTCGATGGCACTTAACAACAAAAATATAGATTTGATTAGAGTTTTCTCTAGTTTTTCAACTAATGTCTTTTTTGTTGTTTCAGGATTAAATGCAGTATTCCATTTTACATTTAGATGTTTTATCTCCTTAATCTCCTCACATTTGTGATCTTTGTGTTTTAATACCAAATGAAATAAATAGGAATTAGAAATATGTATCTTTTATGTTTTGTTGTTTAGTGCTATCAAGTTGGTTCCGACTTATAGGGACCCTGTATAGGGTTTCTAAGGCTGTAAATCTTTATGGGAGCATAAAGCCTCATCTTTCTCCTACAGAGCAGCTGATGGGCTCAAACCTCCAACCTTCTGGTTTGCAGTCCATTGATTATCCTACAGAGTACCAGGCTCCAAGTTTACATATGATCTCGTACATGATTATTGATGTCTTGGAGTGGCATTGTGGGATAAAGCACTGGACTATAAGGCTAGTGTGAACCACAAGGTCGGCGCTTCACACTCACTAGCCATACTTTGGAAACTCTATACAGGGTCGCTATGAATCAGAACCAACTCCACAGCAGTTAACAACAACAATATGATTATAATTCCATCTTAATTTACATAACAAATTTTAGGTCAGACTGTTTATAGTTTTGTTTTGTTTTTTTTTCATTTTCTGTATGTCAATAAGCATTTTCCCTGAGTCATCAAATATTGAAATAAGTGCATAAAAAAGGAAATAAATGACAGTGGTCATCTCTGATAGCATTCTCCTATCTGTACTTCATACATTTTCCAAATGTTCACTGATGACTATGTACTGGTTTTATAACCAGAAGTAAGTAATTGTTACTTAAAAATAATTCCAGTCACTTCTAGTGCTGCACCTCTGCGCTGTGGCTGTCCAGAGGCCTTTATTGGGGCTCTTTGTCTAAGAATAAGCCTGTGTCTTTAATTAGGTCACCCTCCTGCTGACCTAGAATCTCTGCACAGGGCTTAGGTTGTTTCTCAGAACCCGGAGGAAACATAGTTCTGCTGAGCTGAGTCTCTTGCAGGCAGACCCTGCCTTTCTGACTGTATTTAGCTTAGTCTGAATTTGAGAAACTTGTGATCCATCACCCTGATAAAGCTGCCATCCTCATGTCTCTTAAACACAGCTTCTTTAAAAATGGACGGAGAAATACATATTACTGTAAAGAAAATTTAGACTTGCAAAATAAGCATTTTAAGCATGTTTGGATGCTAATAATTAATTTATTCACAACCCTGCTGTCCCATGCCACTATTGTTCCTTGTTCCTTGTGGTCTTCCTGTTAAGTTCGGTGTCACACACATTCAAGCCCTGGAGTGGCTGATGAGTGGACAGGGGTGGGGGTGGGTGGGAGTGAGGGGAGGATTCTCAGAATCTAGTTTGCATAAGCCTGAAAAGTCTCCTGGAAGAGAACTCATTCCATGGCAAAAAGTAGCCAGGCACAACCAGTTTGACCCTATAGCAAGGTTTTTGGAGCCAGAAGGGCTCCTGGTTTAGTGTCCCCACATTCTGTCAGTTTCACTAAAACCTTTATCCAGGTTTGACTCTTGTGAGGGTGTGGCATGGGGTGTATGTGTGTGTGTGTGTGGGGGGGGTGGGAATAATAGTTTTGTTGTTGTCATTGTGTGATGTAAAGTCAATTCTGACTTACAGAGACATTCTATGACAGGGTAGACTTCTGGTCTGGTTCTGTAGGATCAGCACAAGGCCGGCAGTTCAAACCCACCAGCTCCTCCTAGGAAACCCTATATAGGGTCGCTATGAGTCAGAACTGACTCGATGGCACTTAACAGCTTAACAACAACATATGACAGGGTAGAACTGCCCCATAGAGTTTCCCAGATTATTATTTTTTAAAGACATTTTATTATGAATTGAGTGAAAGTTTACAAAGCAGATCATGTTTTACATTCAGTAAATCATGTGCTTGGCTTCATCTCAGTGTTTGCAATCCCCTCAGAGTAATATCATGTATCCCACTTGCTCCCTGTGTTTTTTGTTTCAATTCTTCCTTCCACCCTTCTGAACTTTGTTCTTGGGTCAATGCTTGGCCTGTCATCTTGATGGGCTGTCATCTCTCCCTGATCTATTGGTTAGTAGCCGAGTGCTTAACCATTGTGCCAACAAGGCTCTTTGTTAATAACAATATAGAACTCCACAAAAACCAGACCAAACTCATGGCCACAGAGCTGATTTTGACTCATGGTAACCCTATATATTACAGAGCTCCATAGGAGTTTCTTGACTATAATCATAAGGGGGGAGATTATCTACTCTTTTTTCTGTGGCCTCTCTGGGTGGGTTTGAACCACCAACTTTTCTGTTAGTGGTCAAGCGCAACCGATCGGTGCCACTCAGGAATCTTTGGGTGACTCTGTCACCATTTATTTATCTCTTCTGGTATGGATGGACACTTGGGTTGTTTCCAGATCAAGATTATAAAGAATAAGGATTCCACAAACATTTTTATACATGCCTTTCAGTGAACATATGTTATCTCTTTTAACTTTAACTTCTTCCCTCCCTCTCTTTAGTTCCCCAAATCCCAGGTGATCTCATTCAGACCCCTGGTCCTGCTGCCCCACCACATATTGTTGCTTATTAGTCTGATTCTCATGCAATCTGGTTTCTTTCTTGTCAGGACTCCGGGGCTGTCTCCCTTCCCTGCCCTTGGCTCTTGCCCAGCTCTTGCCATCTTTCCAGTGAGGCTCCATTAGCCAAGGTCTCCTGTGACCTATGTTGGCTATGTTGGCTAACTCAGGAGACACTGGACTGTCTCCTGATTGGCCTTTCTGCACCACTTGTCCTTCAGGCTCGCAGCTACCTCTTTCCTCCTGAGCTTCTGGGCTATCCCTTTCCTACACCTCACCTGTTCCTCTGGCTGCTCCCTACCCAGCCTCCTTGGCTGGATCTCCTTCTATGCTCTGGCTCAACATTATTGTTCTCTGGGGCTCTGGCCTCAACTCTCTTCTTCTGATCCAAAGGGCTCTTCTGCTGTAAGGTCTTCAGTGCAACAGCCCCTCCTCAACCTCTAGCTCAAAATTCAAACGGGTTTTGCACATTCATTCGGTGGCAAACTTTGATTTGACCCAACATATGATTATTTACTGTCTTCATGAACCTATTTTATGTGAATGAATATTCAGGCATTGCCTGCAGGAATGTCAGTGTGTTTATTAGGGGTCATTGCCCCAGATTCCATCAAGGGTGTGATTATGCATGTATACAAGTAAATTAAGTCTGACCTACTGAAAGTCAGAAAAAAAATTTTTTTTTGTGTATTTTGAAATATACCTGGCTCTAGGGTTTTAGGTCAAGGACTGTGGACATGGGACTCCAAAGTTAACTGTTTTGTGCCTCAGTCCTGAGGTCATGGATTGTTCTAATCATGTCTTTTGGGCCCACTTAGATGTATATGCCATATCTATCTAGATATGATATACATGTTCTTTCTCTCTGTATATGTTTATATGTTTATATCTCAATCTTTATGTCTCTGTCTGCATGTCAGTTGCCAGCAAGTCCATTCTGACTCCTGTGGACTCCAAGGCTGTCAGAGTAGAACCACAGGGTTTTTAGTGGCTCAGTTTTGGAAATACAGTCATGACCTGCATGATGCCCCCTTGTCTGTTGTCTGTGTCCTAGTCTGTGGTCCCGATCTCTAGAAAGACTACTCTCTTCAAATTCTGAGGTACCCACAATAGTTTGTCATAACAAGTGAATGCTACTTTGTAATACACATCAAAACAGTATTGTTGTTGCTGTTGTAAAGTGCTGTCAAGTTGGTTCTGACCCATGTTGTCGTTGTTGTTAGGTGCCATCGAGTCGGTACTGACTCATAGTGACCTTATGCACAGCAGAATGAAATACTGCCTGATCCTGGGCCGACCTCACTACTGTTGCCACGCTTGAGTCCATTGATGCTGCCAATTCGCCAATCCATCTCGTTGGGAGTCTTCCTCTTTTTCTCTGACCCTCCACCTTACCAAAAATGATATCCTTCTCCAGCAACTGGTCCCTCCTGACAATATGTCTGAAGTATGAGAGATGAAGGCTGTCTATCCTGGCTTCCAAGGAGCACTCTGACTTCACTTCTTCCAACTCAGATCTGTTTGTTCTTTTGGCAGCCCAATATTCTCCTCCAACACCATAACTCAAAAACATTAATTCTTCTATGGTCTTCCCTATTTACTGTCCAGCTTTCGCATGCATATGAGGTTATTGAACATAGCAACCCTGAATAGGGTTTCCACAGAGCGACTGGTGAGTTTGAACTTCCGACCTTATGGTTCAAGCCTACATACCTTGTGGTCCAGTGCTTTAACCCACAGCACCACATCAGGGTGTTTTAATGTAGCTGGAAGTGCTTCTTTAATGTTTTATACATAGAAAGGCACATTATATACTATATATGATGACAAATATCTGACTTACATTAGCTATGAACCATCCTTACTGTTCTGATTAATGTATAAATTGAATTTAAAGACAAACTTTGGAACAGAACTCATTAGTAATCTGCGATTGCCTTTATATATAATGCAATGTATATTTCACAAGAATTGGGATGTTTTCTTATATTACCAGAGTACAATTATCAATTCCAGAGATTAGCATTGATATAGTACTTTTATCTAACCTAGGAACCGTATTCCAATTTTATTTGTTGACCTACTAATGTCCACTGTAACCCCCTCCATTTCTGACTTCAGTATAGGTGGGATATTAATATCCACTCTACTAATGTCCACTCTAACCCCCTCCAGTACTGAGTTCAGTATAAGGGCGGTATATTGCAATCAGTTGTCATATCTTTTTGCTTTCTTTAATCTGAGGCATTCCCTCAGCTTTTCTTTGTCTTTTATGATGCTACAGAGTTACAGGGTTTTTATAAAGGACCATGGGCAGAGGTACTTTTGCTTAGTGCTTAAGTGTATAGGCATTAGTTCGAGGCTGCCTGGGTTCAATCCTGGCTCCGTCTTTTATTAGCTGTAAGAGTGAGTGAGTTGCTTAACCCTTTTGTGTCTCAGTTTCCTCATCTATGAAACCACAATAACAGTAGGCCTAATTCATGGGCTGTTACATAGCTTGACTATATATATGTTGTTGTTAGGTGCCATTGAGTTGGTTCTGACCCATAGCAACCCTATGCACAAGAGAACGAAACACTGCCTTGTCCTGTGCCATCCTCACAATTACTGCTTGAGCCCATTGCTAATGCCATTTTACCAATCCATCATATTGGGGGTCTTCCTCTTTTTCACTATCCCTCCACTTTACCAAGTTTGATGTCTTTCTCCAGGGACTGGTCCCTCCTGATAATATGTTGTAAGTATGAGAGACCAAGTCTTGCCATCTTGGCTTTTAAAGGGTATTCTGACTGTACTTCTTCCAACATGGATTTGTTTGTTCTTCTGGCAGTGCATGGCACTTTAATATTCTTCTTCAGCACCTTAACTCAATGCATCAAATCTTCTATGGTCTTCCTTATTCTTTGTCCAACTTTCACATGCATATGAGGCTATTGAAAATACTATGGTTTGAGTTAGGTGCACTTAACTGACAACTTTGCTCTTGAACATTTGAAAGAGGTTTTAGTCTTGTGCAATAGATTTGCCTAATGTAATAGATGTAACAGACAATTATATATATGCATATTCATACATTGCCTGTAGAAATGTTAATATGTATTTAGTGGTGGTTATGTGCCATGGAGTTGGTTCCAACACATAGAGACCGTGTACAGGGTTTCTGAGGTTAATGGAGCAGAAAGCCTCATCTTTCTGCCATGGAACAGCTGGTAGTTTTGAACTGCTGACCTTAAGGTTTGTAGCCTGATTTATAAACAGTATGCTACCAGAGCTCCTTATACACACACACACACACACACACACACAGAGTATACAGTAAAAGCAATGTAAGTGTTTGCTTCTTCTTCTTATGGCGACTCCCCTTTGCCTAAAGGAGTTCTGAAATGCAGCAAGCCTCACAGGTGAGCCCCAGCAGTGGCACAGGGGCAGGGTCTATTCTTCCACAACTGGCCCTGCAGTTTGCTATATAGCTCTGCTCTCATTGGCTCCCAAGTGCTCTGCTTAAAAAAAATAAAGCTTTACTTTGTTGCTGACTATGTACATAGCAAAGCAGACACCAATTCAACAGTTCTGACATGTACAATTCAGTGACATGGGTTCCATTCTAGACTTTTCCTTTTCCTAATTGTTCCGTCCTCATTAACATAAACTCATTGCCCCTAAGTTTCCTTTGAATCCCTGAGGAGCTGTTGTCCATTTGATCCCATATAGTTCTCAACAGAGCATAATGCTCAAGGCAGACAGTCTTCACTAGTTCCGTTGAACTGCTGTTTGGTTTTAAGAAAACTTCAGGAGATATTTTTGTTTAAGTTAGAAAGATTAGCTCAAGGAACTGGTTTCAGGGGCTTATCCATCATCCATGAAAGTCTGGAGTCCGTGAGACTTTGAAATTTTGTTCTGCATTTTCCGCCCTCCCAAATCTGCATTTTAAAATTTAGACTCCTCTATACAATTTTTTATTAAATGTTCAGTGACGGTAACCAGGTTCCATCCAGGTCTTCTGGTCTCATGACAAAGGAGACAGTTGTTCTTGGAGGCAATTGATCACATATTCAATCTCCTCCTCCTGTTACCTGGTGGTCCTTCTTCCTCTGTTGTTCCAGGCAAATAGAAACCAATTTTGTACCTTGCAAACCATTTAAGACCCAGAAACTGTGCAAAGAAGTAGGAGGTAGAATTGAAGCACTACTAACTTTATTAGACCAATTAACTCAGATGTCCCATGAAACTATGGAACCCAAGCTTCCAAATCCAGGAACCAAATTCCAGAAGGTGTCTGGTTGCACATAAGCAAGGAGTACTGTTTTTTTGTTACTGGCTTTTATACTTTGATCTGATTCTGACCTCCTAGTCAGCTGTTCTTTCTTATAGCTCTTAGCCTGCTTCTAGCAATTTCCTCTTTAAATGTCTTTGGGTTGGGAAGTTGTTAGGATTATGTATAAAGCAAAAGTCCTGAGTTCTTTATTTATCAAAGACATCTCTTCTATTTTGAAAGCACATGCATGTCCTGCCTTTTTAACAACAGTATTTGCTTCATTCTGGGTTTCTGCTACAGTCCAGTTGGTTGAAGTACTTAGATATGTAAGCCCTACACATGGAGGAGGCATGGTGAAGATGAAATGACAGCTTTCTTTCTTGAAGAAGGCTAGGGATACCAGCAAGTGTCCTGGCTGACTCCTCCCTCAAAGAGGTGGGCTTAGGGGGCTTAGTGCTGGGTCAGTGCTGTCTGGGTCAGTGCTGTCTGAAGTTATTGAGGAGTGGTGAGGCTGGTCCCCACTGATAGCATGTGGGTGGCAGGAGGAGAGACCATTGCTTCTTGTCTCCCTCCTGTGATGATGGCCATTGTGGACGGGGATGAGACATGGAAGTCTGATGGCCTGGAGCAGGACTGGCATCAGTGGTGAGATGGGCTCTTGGGGTGTGGAGGGGGTAGCTCAGCCTGTAAACACCCCCAATTCATGATACGCACCACACAACATGGCACTAAGAGTGATCCTTTGGGTGCAGTGACTCCTCAAAAGAGCCCAATGCTCCCGAGGGGACCCCTTCTAGAGGCAGGCCCAGAATCATCAGACATAAACACTGATAAGGTGCACACGCAGACGCCTTTCCTTCCCACTCACATGTTGATATGGTGACATGCGCTAGCCCATCATAACAAGCATGTCATTTCTGCACTTGGTGGCAGCGACCCAACTTAGGAAGGTGACAACCTTAACTTGCAGGGATGCCCACGACACTCCCCATCACATGAGCCAGTGAACTTGTGATACACGTTCACATGAGTGCTCACACATGCAGACATACATGTTCATGGGCATGCATGTTTATGCACACTCATAAATGCGCACCCACACAGGACAGTCCCATAGAGGCTCACACAACAAACATACCTGCTCTCACATAGTACACACTCTCACACACACACACACACACTCATATATAAGCACTGCATGACCTGCCTGTGGACTCAGAAAAGAAGGGCAGAGGGGGCCTTGGTTTGCTCTGCTGACTTTCCACTAATCCCTGGGTCTTCGTTTTTTTGGGGGCGGATTATCCCACATCTCTCTCCCTATCCCCAGGATTTTTGTGAACCACAGTCTGGCGCTGGGGAAGATTAGCTGCTTTGGCTTCGACATGGATTACACTCTGGCCGGTAGAGAGGACTGGAATGCCGGGCTTTGGGAGTTGGGGGGGACAAGGATGGGCAGCCAGACTCCAGCTGGGCCTCCCTGCAGCCTACAAGTCCCCGGCCTATGAGGCGCTAGCCTTTGACCTGCTGCTGGAACGCCTGGTGTGCATCGGGTACCCGCATGAGATCCTTCGCTACACCTATGACCCCGCCTTCCCTAGCAGGTGCAGGGCTCGGGCTTGGGGTGGGGACGCTGCCGCTGGCCCTGAGCACCCCACCTACAGCCCCGTGCTCTGTCCCCAGGGGGCTGGTGTTTGACGCGCTCTATGGGAACCTACTGAAGGTCGACGCTCACGGGAACGTACTGCTGGGCACCCACGGCTTCGCCCTCCTCTCTGAGTAAGGGACAGCTAGTGTGGTGAGGGCAGGGGAGAGGACGGATAGAGGGAGGGAGGAGTGGATGCCGGCTGGACAAAAGGGTGGAGGAGCCAGGAACCGCCAAGATCTGGGCGGTGTCCCAGCCCACCTCTCCCCAGGGCCGAGATCAGGAGCTGCTACCCCAGCGAGTTCATTCAGAGGGACGATCTGCAGCGGTTCCACATCCTCAATACCCTCTTCAACCTGCCTGGTGAGGGTCAGATAGGGGAAGGGCAGGGTGGTCCTCAGGAGCCTCTGGTCTGGAGGCTGCTGCCTGGTCCCCAGGACCCACAGCTGACTGATGCCATTTCTGCCTCAGAAACCTACCTCTATGCCTGCCTGGTGGACTTCTTCTCCAACAACTCCCGCTACACCAAGTTCGTCCCCACACCCTGCCAGCCTTGGGTGACCAATAGGACACTGCATCTGTCCAAGGGCCAAACCCACAAGTGGGGCCCCCACCCAGGGACATGAGTTCCTGCTGTGGGATTTCAGGGGATCCTGGAACACAAAGGAAAGGCCTTCACGCAGGGTGCCCCCTAGACAGTGTTACCCTCTAGGGATGATCCTTAGTGCAGGGTGACCCCCTTCCCAGGATGTCTGCTGCATTAGTCCCAGTGTATCTGAAGGGGCCACTCTGGTATAAGCCCCAGCACTGGTGGTCACCCTGGTCCCCTTGTTGGTCTTTCTGTGCCCTCTTGGTCGGCCCCAGCTGTGACACTGGCTATTGGCATGGGAACCTCTTCATGTCCTTCCGAAGCCTCTTCCAGGATGTGACTGATGCCATGAATAATGTTCATGAGTCGGTGAGTGACCCAGGGCCCCGGGACCTGTGACCTGCCTGCCTGTGGTGCTTCTGGACTAGCCGTGCCTCTAGCTCTCCTTCCACCGAGAACTGCGGTGGTCTGGGCTCCCTGGCACTGTTCCCACATGGACACACACCTCTGCTCCCTCCTGCAGGGCTGTCTCAAGGAGAAGACCTTAGAGGACTTGGATAAATACGTGGAGAAGGATGTGAGTGACCCAGGTCCATGATCAGGTCTTGCCCCCTGTTCCCCGGGGCAGTGGAGAGCCCCACTGTGGTCTCATCTCCCAGAGCTCTTCCCATTGGCATTGCTCAGGGCCTTCCTGGTGGCCTGGGGTCCACCTGCTCTGAAAGGCTGAAACATGGGTAGGCTCCCAGGAAGCTGAGACTAGAGGAGGGATCTTCAGGGTATCTCTGGGTGGTCCACCCTTGCAAGTCACTCTGTTTTCTGTCCCAGGTAAGAATCCCCATTCTTCTGGGCAAGATGAAGGAGGTTGGGAAAGTATTTCTGGCCACCAACAGCAGCTACAACTACACTGACGTGAGTTTGTTTATGGCAGGTGGGAACACTTAGCCTCCCAGTCCAGAGATGGGCCTCTCACCTGGCCTCAGGGGGAAAGGAGGCATTGGAGGAAATAGTGAGGGGGTGGAAGGAGCCCACCTGGGTCCGTTTCTTGGCCTTTTAAGGTGTCAGTAAATTTAACAACTTTTCTGCCATGGTGTTCCTGTGGTTCCAGAGCAGGGGGAATGTGGGATGCGGGGCAGAGGCAGGCATTGGCTCAGCCCCAGCCCCAGTCCAGTGTGCTGACCCCTGCCCTGTCCCCTGCCAGGCCATCATGTCCTACCTGTTTGGCGTTGGTGAGGTGAGTGCTGTGTGCCTGGTGGGGTGGGGTCAGCGTGGCAGGCGCCTTGGCTGTGCAGTGGTGCAGGGAAGGCCAGACTACACCATGATGCCGGGGTCCACAGCGGGTTAGGTGGTGGGAGCAGGGGGTACCTCTCTGTTCTGACTTCTCCCTTGCCTAGCCCGTCCCTCAAGGAAGAATAAGTGTGAGAGGTTGTTTCCCGTGTGTGGACCTCACTGGAGGCGCGCCCCCCAACCCCGACCCCATGCAGTGGCCCCTATGGGAGGCCCAGCATGGCCACTCCTAGAGCCCAGTGCATGGGAGGCCCTGGGGGGAGAGATGACCGGCTTATGGCCTCAGATAAAGCTATAAATTAGCAGATACATGGGGAGGGTTTGGGAGAGGGAGGAGGGGGTGAGGGGAGGACAGCACAGCCCAGGTTGGAGGAGTGGACATGCATGGAGGACCGTGTGGGACCAGTTTCTGGGCCCCTCTGACTGGGCAGCCATGAATGACTCTGGAAGCTGACACCAGCATACACGTTATCCAACACCTTCCCAGTGCTTTCATGTCCCAGCTTGTGGGCGATGCTGGGGAGTGAGACGTCAGGGTTCCTGGGTCTGGGATGTCTCATCCAGTTGGGCAGCAGGGCAGGGCATGCGGATGACACCAGGACTGGCCAGCTTTCACTGGCTGCATGGATCCTGGGCCGGTGTCTCGGCCAGGGGAGGCAGGGCAGGGAGGTGGCTGTGGCAGGGTGGCCTGGATGAGGCCATGTCAGCGTCACATTTTCCAGGCTGACTGTGTATGTGCCCCATGTGTCTGTCAACAACCTCCCTCATTCCTGCTTGACAGGCGGAGGCCCCAGCTAGGCTCTGGAGGGCCTTCTTTGACTTGATTGTGGTGGATACACAGAAGCCTCGATTCTTTGCCGAAGGAACGGTGCTGAGGCAGGTCAATACGGTAATGGCAGGTGCTGAGTCCTGGTCCACCTTGAACCTGGGCTCCTCTGGGAGGCTGTAACTGCTTCTTCGACTGGACCTGCTCTTGGTCTGTCTGTCCCTGGAGAGGACAGGGGAGGAAGGGGAGGGCCCTCTGCTACCTCCTCCTGTGGCTACCCCTGTGGTTACCCTTGCTGCTCCCAGCCTCGTCCTCCCTCACCAGGGATAGCTGAGCTTCTTTCTGACTTCAGAGTACTCTCTGCTCCCTCAGGACTCAGGGAAGCTCCGAGTGGGCACTTACACTGGGCCCCACCAGCACTGTGCCGTCTACTCTGGAGGTACCTGCTCCTACCCCATGCCCTGTCCCTCCATGGCTCCCTCTCCACTTGGAACCTACTCCCTAACCTGCCCAGCCAGGACAGGGATGGGCTGTGAGCAGGTTTCTCTCCTCCCACGGTGAGGTAGGTTCCTCAGACGTGGTGTGTGAGCTGCTTGGGGTGCAGGGGAAGGACATCCTGTACATTGGGGACCACATCTTTGGGGACATCCTCAAATCCAAGAAGCGTCAGGGCTGGTGGACTTGCCTGGTGGTACCTGAGCTGTCCCGGGAGCTGGGCATCTGGGCGCAGGAGAAGGGTGAGCTGCAAGGGTCAGAAAGGGCAGAGGGGCACTACCCCATATCACTTGCCCCCCTTTGCTGTTGAGAGCTATTAATGACCATAATAATTCCATTCACTCTGGTTTATGAAACAGTTACCCCACGAGGGAGAATCTATTTTATATATAAGGAAACAGAGAGTCAGAGAGGTTCAGAAACTTGCCCAAAGTCATACAGCCAGTAGGGACATAGCTGGGACTCCAATCCCAGTCTCCTAGTCCTGTGGCTTTTCCATGCACTGGGCAGATTCAGAAGAGCCTCTTTCAGCCATCCCTGGGTACAGACCCAGCAGTGACGTGAATTGCTTTGAATCCAGAAATTCAGGGTTTTGTTCTAACGGTTGCATTTGAGTCATTTTCCTCTGACCTTGGAAACACTACCTGACTCCCTCAATGGCTTCCTCCCCTGCCCCAAGGGCCCAGACTGTCCTGGTTTCCCATGGGCTCAGCTAGGTAGGCAGGCCGGTGAGTGACCCAGCTGACCCTCACGCCTGCGTAACCGGTGTGTTTTTCAGACCGGCTGGAGGGCTTGCAGGGACTGGATATGCACCTGGCTGACCTGTACCAGTGAGAGCCCTGACCTGTGGGCCCCGCCCCGGGAGGAAGCAGGATGAAGGGGTGGGCCCCCAGCCAGGCCTGGCATTAAGCTCCTCCATAAATCATGAAGATCTGTTTCAGGGTGGACTTCCCAGTAAACTGGACGCATGGCCTCGTTGTGCCCTGGGAACTGTTCACACTCCTTGACCTGTAGGCCCCTCCCCCTAACCCACCACACGTGGACTTGGTAACACGTGCACATACCCAGCCTATGCCAGGATCAGACCAACTCATTCCTCCACTGGGAGCCATGAAGGTGTCCCCGCCTCCCACCGCTTAGAGCTTGGAGCTCTGGCTTTTCTCTTCTGGGTCATATGGCTTTTTTTTTGTACCAGGCACATGGATGGGACCAATTGTGGGCTGCAAGTCATCAGCTCCACTAAGAGGGAGATTCGGGTAAGAACCAGTTGTCCAGTTGTTGAATGAAGAGGGGACCAGATCAGCAGCTGGGCTTGCCCAGACCTGCCTGGTCTTGTTGTTGTTGTTTGGTGCCATCGAGTCAGTTCTAACTCATAGATAGCTACCCTGTATCGGGTTTTCAAGGAGTAGCTAGCTGGTGGGTTTGAACTGCCAACTTTGCAGTTAGCAGTCCAGTGCTTATCCTACAGCACCACACCAGACCTGGTCCTGTTGTTGTTAAGTGCCATCGAGTTGGTTCCAACTCATAACATTACTTTGAGGAGTGGCTGGTGGATTTGTACCACTGACCTTTTGGTTAACAGTCCAATGCTTATCCTACAGCGCCACCCCTGTTCGTTGTTGTTGTTGTTAAGTGCCGTCAAGTTGGTTCCGACCCATAGTAACCCCTGTATAGGGTTTTCGAGGAGTCACTGGTGAGCTTGAACCGCCGACTTTGCAGTTTAAAACGACTTTGCAGTCCAGTGCGTTAAGCCACAGAATTGTACTTGCCTGGTGGTAGGTCCTCCTTTAACAGATTGTCCCCGACCTGGCCTAGCTCCACCTATTCTTGTCAGCCACCGCCCTCTGCTGGCCGGAGTGCCACATGACGGCAGTGTACAGCCTGTGGGGTGATTTATGGAACCTGGCTCCTGTCCTGCAATCTCCAACATCCAGCCTTCTTGAGAAGTGATTGCCTACTTGGCTTGTTGTTGTTATTTGTTGTTGTTATGTGCCGTGGAGTCGGTTCCGACTCATAGCGACCCTGTACAGGGCTTCCGAGGCTGTAAATCTTTACGGGAGTAGGAAGCCTCGTCTTTCTCCCGCGGAGCAGCTGGTAGTTTCATAGTCCTCATGTAACTAGTGAGCTAGTTGTGATCAGATCTTGGGGGTTGGAAGGGTGAGCCTGGGATTCTAAAGAAGATGGGATTTTGAGCAAGTAAATTGATACTCAAGCCAAACTCAACTGTATAGGACAGAGTAGAACTGCTCCCATAGGCTGAAATCTTTACAGAATCACCTGGACACATTTTTCTCCCATGGAGATGATGATGAGTTGTGGAGTGTTTTAACCACCTTCTGATTGAGCTGATCAGTCCTGGGTAAAGAGAAGAAAAGATCCCTTTGGGTCTTGCTGACCAGCCACTGAAGCTGGGAGATTCCCACAGTCTGGATCATGGGGCTTCAAGTCTCTTGGCGATCCCAGGTCCAGCTGAGAGTCATCACAAAGACTTTCTCAGAGCCCTTTGCAGGTTACAGAGCCCTTGCACAGCTCTTAGATCTTCCCGCTCTGGTAGCATAGTGGTTACGAATCAGGCTGCGAACCGCAAGGTCAGCAGTTCGAAACTACCAGCTGCTCCGTGGGAGAAAGATGAGGCATTCTGCTCCCGTAAAGATTAACAGCCTCGGAAACCCTGTGCAGGGTCACTATGAGTTTGAACCGACTCTAAGGCACATAACAACAACAACAACAGCTCTGTGAGATGGGCTGGGCATGGTTTTCACCGTTGCTTAGCTGATGAGGAAACCAAAACTCAGAGAGGGGTACAGCAGGCCTTGGTCACCTGGGAGTAAATGGCCAGAGTCTTAAAGCTAGGCCTGGTGTTTATGGTGGGTAGGGAAGGACATAGGCCTTGCCTAGTTGTTTAGGAAGAATCCGGAGGTAAGAGATGCTGAAGTTTTAGAACCAGTGTTCAATCTCCAGGGCCAGACAGGTAACTGGTATTGAAGCTGGAGGTGGGGCCTATGATAAATGGAACCATCCCACACCCCAAAGCACGTGTGTGCAACCACTGTGTTTAAAGACAGTGGATCCTTCCCTCCAGCTCGTCTCAGTATCTCCAGGTGGCAGAAGTCCAGGGAGGGTCATTCGGGAATGCAGTAGGTCAGGGCAGACCTGGGTGTGATCTCGCAGGCTGTGCTTGCCCTCAGGGTGGGTGGTGAGTACTATGGGGGTGTGGGATCTCCATTCAGTGTGCTTCCCATCTTCCCAGAGGGTCACCCGCGAGCTGGACATGTGTTACAGCACCACGGGCAGCCTGTTCCGCTGCGGCCTCCGCCAGACGCTCTTCGCTAGTCAGCTGATGCGTTACGCCGACCTCTACACTGCCAGCTGCCTCAACTTCTTGTACTACCCGCTTAGTTCACTGTTTCGGGCGACCCCAGAGCTGGTGGGTCCCTGCAGAACCGCTGGCCATTCCTACCCTCCACCTCAGAAAGATTTGCTTGTTTCCAGCCCTGCTAGGAGCTTGCTCCTACCTCCAAAGCCTTGTCGACAACTGCCTCACGTTAAAGAACTGCATGGCACAGATAAGGAAGTGTGGATAAGATATCTGTGCTGGGGGGGGGAAGCTCATCACGTCCAACCTTAACTCCTGTTTTAAAGTGAGCCACTTGATCTCAGTATTGTGTCCTTGGTGGAAATCATATTGAAAGCATCGGTGGTCCACCTGGAAGGTCCGGGTTCACCTTCCATGTGGGAGAGCTGGTTCAATTCCTGGCACCATGCACAGCTACTATTATCTGTCTGTCAGCAGAGGCTTCAGTGTTGCTGTGATGGTGAACAGATTTCAGTAGAGCTTCCAAACTAAAATGGACTAGGAAGAAAAAGCTGGTCATCTGCTTCTGAAAACTCTATGGCTCACAATGGATTGATTGGCAACTGATCACGGGGATCAGAACTGGGTATTTTGCATGGGGTCCTCATGAAATCAAGGGCCAAGTTGATGGCAGCCAACAATAACAACAACAACAACAATTATTCCAGTTGCAAGACGGAAGGATGAACATAAAGTCACTTCAGAAAAGGCACAGGAAGCAGCAGGTGATAGAGTAGATGTGATGGCTGGTCTTCCTCTAACTGTGACCCAGGAAGGTTCTGTAGTTAAGAGCAAGAACAAGGCAGTGGAGGTAGCTAGGACGGCACAGGAAGGGGCAGGGGAAGTCATGGCACCAAACAGCGCAGGCTTCCCCTGGAACATGCGCACACTGGTTCACCAAGCAGCGCAGGCCTCCCGTCCACTGGTTCATTCCATTTTATAAGATGCAGAGTCTAAGCACCTGGACTTAAAAGGAAGTCTTTGGGACTTCTTGCCCGTTGTTTTCCTTACCACCCCCAGCTGCTTTCTAAATGTTCGGGGAAAAAAAAAGATTTATTGAGTATCTGCTATGCTTTCTGCACCTGGCTGGTCTAAGTGCTTTTTATATATTTTATGTTAATACTTAAAACAACCTGGCAAAGAACCAGAGCAAACTGAACCAAACACACACAAAGCTCTCCAAACCAGTTGCTGTTAAGTTGATGCTAACTAATGGTGTCCCCGTGTATGTCAGAATAGAACTGGGCTCCAGAGAGTTTTCAGTGGCTGATTTTTCAGAAGTAGATAATCAGGCCCTATTTTTTCTGGGGGGACTTGAACCTCAAACTTTTTGCTTAGCAGTCAAAGAAGCAGACGTTACTATCCTCATTTTCCCATTGACCAAATGGAAGTGCAGCATACCTAACTCTTCAGAAGACAAATCATTTTTTTGCTTTGGATTTTTGTGTTGAAACCATGTGTTTTTAGTCATGGAAGGCATTCTGAATGAAATGAAAAAAAAATTTTTTTTTTTTTAGATAACGAATTTTGATACAGTTAGTATGACACGTGTGTTCTGAAGGGGTCTCTGGTGCTGGGGTTGCTGGAAGGAGGCTGATCTCTTTAGGTTCATGCAGTTACACAGGCGCCCACCAGATGGCAGCACAGCCTAAAAGGGCTTGTTGTTAAGCGCCGTGGAGTCTTCTCCTACCCGTAGCGTCCCTGTACAGGGTTTCTGAGGGGCAGCTGGTGAGCTTGAGCCACCGGCCTTCTGGTTCAAACGGACTTTGCAGGCCAGCACATTAACCCACTGATTCCCAGAGTTATAAAATATAGGTGGGCACAGTATGTCCCATGAGTCACAAAAGGATTAAGTAACTTGCTGTCACACTGCTGGTAGACTGAAGAGCTGGGATTGGAACCCAGGACTGCCGAGCTTCAGGAGATATGCTCTGTTCCTGGCACTGCACCACCAGATGCTCAGGGGGACAGAGTGCTCAGTGCACAACCTCACCCCAGCTTTTAGATAGGCCAGGCTGGGCGTCGGAGACATAACCATCCATTTTGCCAGACATAACTGCTAAAGTAGATAGAGACCTGCCAGGTGAAGAAAAGCACTCCCAAGCAACAGGTGAAGCCTTTAAAGAAATCTGACCTTTGTCCAACTGGGGATGCGAAGTCCATTTGCCTGAGTCTTTCTTCCTCTATATGTCTTGGGTGAGCTCCCTCTTTTACAGAATCATTGGACAAGAACCTGGAAGCTTGGTGTTGAGGGGGGTCTCTGCATAACTCAAGAATTTCTGAAGCTGTTACCATTGACACCATCTCTATCTTTGTTCTTGCAGATGCCACATGAATTACTTGTGGAGCAAGACCCGGCCAATCTGGATGCCTCCGCCAGTCTCTTCCGCAGCCCGCCGGTGAGTGGCCCTGAGGTGGTGTTGCTCTTCCTGCCGCTGGGTGGAGCCCTTGCTGCGACCCCAGAGCTCAGCAGCTTGAGGCTACCTTTGGCCTAAGACAGTGGCCCCTAATGAGCTGGTATCTTAAGGGACATTTTGGAAAATTGTGGACTTTTTTCAGTGTGTGTATGTGTGTCTTCAGGTGTGACCATCTGGGTATTTACGTTTGTTGTTGTTATGTGCTGTGGATTTGCTTCCGACTCATCGGGACCTCGTACAGGGTTTCTGAGGCTGTAAATCTTTACGGGAGCAGAAAGCCTTATCTTTCTTCAGCAGAACAACTGGTTTGCAGCCCAATTCGTAAACACTATGCTACCAGAGCTCCTTAGTATTTATGTAGAGGTATTATATTATAAATTAACTTTTATTTCTCCTCTGTTCTATATTTGGAGGCCCTGGATGACACAATGGTTAAGCACTTAACTATTAATCAAAACGTTGGCAGTTCAAACCCACCCAGAGATGCCTCAGAGGACAGAATTGGTGCTGTGCTTCTGAAAGGGCATGGCCTTGAAAACCATGTAGACTAGTTTTATTCTGTAAACACACAGGGTCGCTGTGATTCGGCAATGATTGGAAAGCAACTGGTTTGGGTTATTTCTATTTATGTTATTTTTGTTAGTTTGTTAAATGCCATCGAGTCAGTTCTAATTCACAGAGACCCTGTAAAGGGTTTCCAAGGAGGAGAGGGTGGGTTTGAACTGCTGATCTTGTGGTTTGCAGTTGAGCGCTGATCCTACAGTGCCACACCAGGAGTCCATTTATGTTATATTTAGGGTATTCTATTGACTTAGAAATTATTATGACAGCGATATCTCTGTACATTTCAATTCAGGATAGAAAGAGGAAAAGGAAAATATTTGCTTTGAAAATAGGGGTACTGAATCCTTTAGAGCAGAGAACCCCAGGATGTAAGATCTGAGACTCGCAGATTCTCACATCAAGGGTTGCTGGCTCAGTTAGTGTCCTACACATGGTTGAGTGATCCTCATCATGATCCGCCTTAATCCTGGGAGTAGCTACAAAACTCATACTCTCCCCAGCCAACACTGAGCCTTCCTTTCCAACAGCCTTTACAAACACCAGTGAGTAGGTGTCCCTGCTTCAGATCCCTCTGGCACTCGGTGCTGCATGGACCCCTCTGAGCTGAGATTTTAGCTTTCATGGGCGCAGCCTCAACCCTCAGCTTGGTCCTGCCTCCCTCAACCCTGTGTGAAAGTTACTACTACCCTGGGTTCCCTGGGTCTGGTTGTTGAACATGATCATCTTATAGGTTTCCTTTAGTTGGGTGGTATTAGCATGTATGGAGTCTTTCCACCAATGTTTACAGAGTGCTTGCAGCATGCCCAGCAGGAAGAAACTGAAACATAGCTGCTTTACACATGTTTAGGAGAAGTACATCAGTCAAGTATCTTCAGTGTGTTTAATCTGTGATTGACAACTATCCCAACCTACCAGAGCGGTGGATCCACTCTTGTATAGTTGCATTTCTCAGATGCGTGTGGTTTAACCGCTTCCCCTTATTCTCGCCAACCTCAGCCTAGGGCATCTATATATATCTTCTACTCTAGTTGGGCAGCACCGTGTGGGCTTGGGAAGAGAGTGTCCACAACCAGTGTTCTTCATTTATTGAAGGCTGAGGGCAAAGAGGATGAGGACCAGGATGGCTGTATCAAGGCAGACTGAACCTGGATGTGAGTCAGCACCATGGTCATCTTCTAAAGTTGAGATCTATTGCAAATCAGAGGAAAAGTGTGGAAGAGGAGAAAAAACCCTCAACTGCCCACAATCTCCTAAATGTAATGATTTGGAGCACAAGAAGATTTGTTTTAGGGAGAAGGGAGTATTACTGTTATCCTGGAAGGCATCCTCCATGGCCTTTGAGTTGTTTGGAATGATGTGTATCCAATGGAATTATTTTACCCAATTCCCATGAGCTGCATCCACTTTTGTATCCAGTTTCATTTCCAGACTTTTTGTTTTTATAGTTCATTTCTAGTACCTTTCAAAAATACTTCATTGTGTTTTTTTTCTATTACTTATAATAACAATAATACCTGATTAGCTACAGATGATCTCATTAACTCTTCTTTCACCCCAGGTCATTGTGAAAGACATTAAATGAAATAGCCCAAAAAGTCTTTGCTTTTTATGTAGAAATGCATTAAAACAAGTAAAAAGTCATACTCAGAATTAAAACACTTGATTATTTTGGTGGGTGGGAGCTTCTGTGTGATACTAAAGTCCTGACCCCCTCCTTGTTCTGATGTCACTGATTTTCATCTACTCCGACAGTTCACTTTTCGTCTGGTTGTTGTTGTTAACTGCCATTGAGTCGATTCCGACCCATAGAGACCCTGTATAGGAGTTCCAAGGAGCAGCTGGTGAGTTTGAACCATCAACCTTGCAGTTCAAGTGACTTTGCAGTCTGACGCATTAGCCCACAGCGCCACACCAGGACTCCTTTTGTCTGGTAGGAGTGTCTTTTGGAGGTTTAGAATGAATATTGGTCCCTGAGTGGCACAAACAATTTGTGCTTGACTAAAAGGAGTTCTGGGAGCTCTGGTAGCGTAGTGGTTACGAATCGGGCTGCGAACCTAAAGGTCAGCGGTTCTAAACTACCAGCTGCTCCGCAGGAGAAAGATGAGGCTTTCTACTCCCGTAAGGATTTAC